TATATATTAATAGAGTAGTTATTCTTTATCTATAAAGTTTTACATATCACAATCATACAAAATATCTCAATTATTGATTTTTTTTATTTTTAATAATTAAAAGGATGGCAATTTTCTCCGCCACCCGCGAAACTTCACGGAGATCCCCGCCACAGGAATGAAGATTCCCAAAATATTTCTCCCCGTAGGACGAAGATAGAGGTAATTTTTTACCAGTGAAATTTCACGGGAAATTTTCTCCACCCCGTGGGAAACCGTGGGGATCCATATAAAATAAAAAAAATATAAAATTTTATATATATATATATTCTTTGTACATATGTTAGCAATTAATTTTTACTTATCCAATCTAATTAGCTAACCCAATACCAACATAACTTAAATTTTACAAGCCATTCTTTTTTCAATTTTTTCAAACCTAATTGTTAGCCCAACCCAATTTTTTTTGTCAATCTAATATTCCTAAACCTAATTGCCCAACCCCAATTTACAGCCCAATTTACCTATAACCCTAGAAGAAGGACAATCCAATTTGCAATTAGCCAAATATTTCACTTTCAGTCTCTTTCTTTACTTGCCGCTTCTTGCAAATTGCGAATTTGGGATTCCTCTCTTGGTCGGTCTCTCTAGTCAATCTCCTCTCCTCTATCGCACTCTTGCTCAATCCTCTCTACCCTCATCTCCATGGACCACTGTGAATCGGTGATTCCCTTCAGCTTTCAACCTCTCACCGACTCACCGTGCTGTCTCTCGGTCAGTCTCTCCAGTCAGTCTCCTCTCCTCTGTCGCACTCTTGCTCAATCCTCTCTGCCCTCATCTCCATGAACCACTGTGAATCGGTGATTCCCTTTAGCTCTCAACCTCTCACCGACTCACTGTGCCATCTCTCAGTCGGTCTCTCCAGTCAATCTCCTCTCCTCTGCCGCACTCTTGCTCAATCCTCTCTACCTTCATCTCCACGGACCACTGTGAATCGGTGATTCCCTTCAGCTCTCAACCTCTCACCGACTCACTGTGCCATCAGCTCGTCATTACAACCACTCACCATCGTGCCGTTACTACAACCCCTAGCCCCTACTGCCCTGCAACACTCACCGCTCACCTCTGGCTTTGAGGCTGTCGCTAGGTTGTCCTCTTTTTGCTGTCGTATGGCCATCTCAACTATGATTCGGTGATTCCTTTCAAGCTCTCAACCAGCCTTTCACCATGCCGTCATCTCGTCACTGCAAGTCTACAACACTCACCACTCACCTTCAGCTCCTCCAAGGCTGGGTTGTCCTCTTTTTGTTGTCACGTGGCTTCCTCCTCCGCGGCTCTGCCTCAGATTCTTTTCAAACTCTCCAACTCCAAGTATCAATTAGATGTAGTTTTTGAAGCTACCATTTTTGTGCTTTAGTGCTTTAGTGTTTCTAACTAATATAATTTAATTTTTGTGCTTTAATATTTCTAACTAGTAAATTTTGTGTTTTTAACTAGTAATTTTTAATTTAATTTTTGTGCTTTAGTGCTTTAGTGTTTTTAATTAGTAATTTTAGTGTTCTATAGTGTTCTATCCTCACTACACCTAAGCATTGCATGCATTTGCATCTTGCATATCATGGATTGTCCCCAAATAGGAAAACCCAGTGGGACGTATTGGTTGGTACGGTCCAAGGGGCCGAGTCATACCATCCCCAAAAACCCACCACCTGTTGTCAAGTACTCCTTTTAGGAGGGTATACCAAAGTGGGGGTGCATAATAACACTTGACCATAGTAATTTCTAATTTAATTTTTGTATTTTAGTGCTTTAGTGTTTCTAACTATTAATTTCTAATTTAATTCATTCTTAGGTATCAATTAGCCAATGTCTTCACAAGAGCCTAGCCCCCCATCGATTCAAATTCCAAATGAATTAAGTGCAAGTATTATACCGAGTGCTACTGCTACACCAACTTCATCCTCGACTATGGTTCCTCTTCCTCTTGCATTAGAAAGTGGTACTAGTGAAGATAAAAAAGATGATCAAGGACATAAGCAGCCACTTACTTCTGAAGCATGGAACCATTATAGGAGGCAAACAATTAATGGTCATTGGAAAGCTATTTGTGTCTACTGCAATAAACATCTTGGAGGCGAGACCAAGAATGGGACAAGTCATTTGCATGATCACACTCGGGTCTGTCCATTGAAATTTGTTTATGACATAAGGCAAACATTTTTGAGAGCATTAAAGAATCAAGAAGGAAAAACAGAACTTGGGCATGGACTTTTCAATCAAGAGATGGCTAGAAGGGAACTTGCATATATGATTTCTGCGCATGAGTTACCTCTATCAATTGTTGATCATATTTTCTTTAAAAGGTTTGTTGCTGCTCTTCAACCAAGGTTCAAGTATGTTTCAAGAAACACAATCAAGAAAGATATCATGGGCATCTATCGTAATGAAAAGTCTAAAACAATGAAGTTGTTGGAGGTCAATCAAAGTAGAATTGCCATCACAACTGACATGTGGACTTCAAATAATCAAAAGAAAGGTTTTTTGGTCATCATAGCACATTATATTGACAATTCATGGATGTTGCAAAATCAAATTATCAGGTGACATTTTGTTATTTTTGTTATGATTTTTTTAAATATATATTTATGTTTATGAGTTTAGAATATTTAGTGTAATTGTTTCTATTGTTTTTTACAGTTCAATATGTGCCTTGTCCACATACTTCTGAGGTATTGCAAAGACTTTGTTAGATTGTTTGATGGATTGGAATATTGATAGGAAATTGTCTACTATCATAGTAGATAACTGTTCTACTAATGATGCCATGGTAAATGTGTTGTTAGGAAAAAGTTTTTGATGATTCATTATGGGTAGAAGGAACCTTGATACATATGTGTTGTTCTGCACATATCTTGAACTTAATTGTCAAAGATGGGTTGGAGGTAATTGTTGACGAAATTGAGAGGGTTAGAGATAGTGTTGCTTTTTGGACAGCAACACCAAAAAGAGAGGAGAAATTTGAAGAGATGACTAAACAATTGAAAATTGTTTTTTCAAAGAAATTAAATCTTGATTGTAAGACTAGATGGAATTCAACCTATTTAATGCTTCATGTGGCTTTATATTATAAAGATGTTTTCTCTCGTTTGAAACAAAGGGACTCACAATATAAATGTTCACCATTAGAGGAGGATTGGGAAATGGCTAAGGAGATTTGTAGTAGGTTGATGTTGTTTTATGAAATCACTGAGTTGTTTTTAGGGCATAAATATCCTACTGCTAATATTTTATTCCCGAAGATCTATGAAATTAAAATTGCATCGATGGCATGGTTGACTTGTGGAAATGTTGTTGTAGAAACAATGGCAGAAAAAATGCTTGATAAATTTGACAAGTATTGGAGTGAGGTTCATGGCATTATGGCTCTAGCAACTGTTTTAGATCCTAGA